CAACTCTTGTTGCATAGGTCCTGCTTTATCTTGGTCTTAACCATCCAGCAGAAAAGTATAAAAACGAAGTATAAGAAGTAAAGCCATGGTGGTATGTTGAGCTGTAGGGGAATCAGGTCAACAATTTCTGACATTGCCAGTCAAGTGGAAGACCCAATACTATTATGGACTACTGGACTCTTTTAGAATATTTTGCTGAGTTCACACACTTATAATATTCAAATGATGGAACTGGACAAAAAAAGGGGATACAGATGAATGTCCATTTTGTATCTGTGTATTTGAAATGGTTAGGATAGATATATAGTTGCATTCTCTTAATGAATAGAGTGATTTGTTCTAATGGTGTTGTAAATAGGATATCATGTCTGTATCTTGTACATCAAATAACCACTAGGAGGAGAGTATGCAATGTGTTAATTATTGAAACTGTCCTACCAATTTGATATGAAACTGTCTCGTTGCTATTTGTTTCTCAATAAAATTATGGAAAAAAATATGTTGTGCTTTTCAGGGCACTTGAGAATGTTTCCTCTCTCCCCTGCAGTTTCTTTTCTTCTCCTTGTTTCCATCTCTAAACCTTGCTTTCTCCTAGTTCAAAGCTGTCCAACATGAATGGTATTAAATGTCACACTTTCCTCTGAGTTACATCTACCTGTGCATCAGAGATGACCTGTTTTCTCCTTTTTCCCAGGCTTAAAGTGCTATGTTTTGTTTTTAGCCAGTCATGAGTTTTGTCCCAAAGGTGCATTATTTATCTCTTTCTCTTCTCACCATCAAGACTAGCCTAGGCAAAGAACTGGTGAGCTGAGGTGGAGGGAGCAGGCCCTACTCTTCCAGTTAAAAGGCTGCTTCCCATTTGCCTTCTTCCACTGTTTGTGTAGTGAACCTACTCCATGGCCACAAATGTCGACTTGAATGTCTGAGTCAGTGCAAGGCTAAGAGCTCATTCAGATCTTGAGTTAATTTGATAGTCAGGAGAAGGGAACACTAATATTTACTTAGTTTCATTATGACTTCACAAAATTCCCTGCTGAAGAAAGAATGGTCCTTGAGCTGATTAATGATTTTATCCAATATAGTCACTGGTCCTCCACGTGTATTAAATTTGGTTGTTCATGGCAAAAAATGAACTTTGAGGATAAACTGTGTTTACAGGGCTAGAAAAGCTTGCTTTGGGTGCCAGAGTGTCTGCTACTGTCTAGTTTTCATTCTTACTGTACTAATTGGTAGAAATAAGAATGTTTATATCTGAAGGAACAAGTTTCCTGAGAGGAACCCCAGATGGTCTCTAAATGACACTTTCTCCAAAGGGTATAACTATTACTTAACCTGTAAGGTATTAGTCAGCAATCCCTGCCTAGTGAGATCTCCTAGGCATGTCTTACTGTGCCCCTCTCTGATTCGGGTATTCTTTTGTGGGTTTTTCAACTTGTGTCCCTCTTCTGAACCTACAACATCCACAGAGTTGATAGACACAGCAGTAAGCTAAATGAATCCTTTTATCTCTATCTCTTTTAGAGAATTAGTGACTGAGTTCTATTTTTATGCCCTCATGATGAGCCAAGACTATATGTACAGCAGACATCTGCCATATATAGAGAGGTGGAGTAGAGAATGTGGCACCAGCACCCAGCTGAGGTTTCTTTCCGATTCCTTTACTGAAGAATGCAGTGCCTTTCATTATCGCCTTATCTCTAGTTTATTCACAGTCTGATTAGGCTGATGAGTGCCATTCCTCCTTTTCAGGAATGTAGTAGAGATCTAGCACTAGATATGATGCCGTTATACTTGGAGAGCAGGACTTCTGCCTCTGTCACTGCACATTCCAGAAGTATGTGTGGCATGATGGGTGCGCACTGCCTTCCCAGCTGTTCCAGCAGGACTCCCTTCTGCTGCATCCTCCTGGTCAGAGCAGGATAAATCGCATCCTACTCAGAGGAGTAGGCCAGTCAGCAGTGCTCACAGTCCTTTAGTGCAGTCTCCAAAGGTCCTGCAGCTGTTTGAGTCTCGCTTAAGTGACCCTTCCTTTACCTGTGTCGCTTAAGTGACCCTTCCTTTACCATGTCTCCATGTCGCAGATTCCAACTCTTGTAACTTCTTAATTCAAAGGATACTGCCTTTCTCACAGTGCTCGTTCATTGAGCTAACTTCTGCCAAAGATCCAGACAAAGAATCCAGTTGCATGCATGATGATCAGATGTCAAATTCCAAGCCCTCACACTTGACAGAGAGCTCTATAATACACTGTTCTCTATCTCCTACTGTATGTTCATATTCATATCAGTTAAAATAACTTTTATGATCCTTGATTCAATGGCTTTGCTTAATCAGTGCATGATATGTGGTATTACTAAAATACTCAGTGACACTATCAATGTGAGAAACTCTAGGGCTTAATGTGTACTCTCAAAGAAGCACAGCCAATATTTTCCTTTCATTCATGCAACAACCCAGAATCAATCACTCCCTCTGCTATTTCATGGCACTTACAAGTACCTTCATTATAGTATTTATTTCATTGTATTATAGAATAAAGATAAAATTTTATTATCATATAAAAATGTAAAGAACTGGCTTGTAAACTCCCTAAAGGCAAACATAGTCTTATTTATTATTCTCTTTCCTGCATCAATTCAAACATTGTTTAATCGAAATAGAATACTAAGCACTCTCAAATTATACTAGGGATTTTCTTGTTTTATAATATGACCAACATATTTGTCTTTTGATGATGTCTCCTACTTCTGTGCATGTCACACCCCACTCTTAAAATAAGAATTTTTTAACCTCAATCACCTCATGATGTGTTCAATACTAGAATGATGTTGTGGTGCCCAACTCTCTCTGCATCATGATAGCCACATGAACAGTCCCTCCTATTCTCTTTCCAGCAACACTAAAGGAACTAGTATCACAAACAATGATCCACTGGGCCCAAGAAGACCAGATCCAGGATGCAGAGCTGGTCCGGATGATGTTCAACTTGCTCCGGAGGCAGTATGACAGCATTGGGGAGCTACTGCAGGCTTTACGGAAGACCTATACCATCAGCCAAGCCTCTGTGAGCGACACCATCAACCTGCTGGCTGCCCTGGGCCAGATCCGATCGCTTCTCAGTGTCAGGATGGGCAAGGAGGAGGAGCTGCTCATGATCAATGGGCTGGGGTAGGTCCTGCATGGTGGCTCAAGAAAGCTTCCAGTGGAAGACCGAGCCTGCTTCCCCTTCCAGTGAACTATCTCCATGCCAAATAAGTCCTCCTTGTCACCTGAGAGACCAGGCTGCTTATGGTGAGAAAGCATTGCCCAGAACAATGTGGAGAAGTCTTGGGAAACAGCAGAATTTAGTTTGAGTCTTATGAACATAGTCAAAGGGAGGCCATGAAAAAACTCTGGAAAAAATAATGGTACATTCAATCCATGACTTAAGCAATTTAAACATTTGAGTTTTGGCCAGATGTCTTCTGGGAGTTCCCTCTAAAAAAATGCCTCCTAATCCTTTCTTCACGGGTTTTTCTTATAGAGGCATTTTGTTAGGTCCATACAATATCAGGCTGTGTCTTAGAACCATGCAGTCAACACAATTCATACCATTTTAGGCATCAGAATGGATTTCTTTAATTTTGAGGTTCAGCACTCTATTTTGTAGATGAGAAAACCAAGACCTAAAAAGGTTCATATACCAGCCAACAAATTTACATAATTAAAATCATCCTACTGCCCTTAAGCAAAAGAAAACAAAACAAAATACACACACACACACACACACACACACACACACACACACACACGAGCATAACCAAGGTTCGGAAAGCTATTTTGAGAATCCTCCAAAGTAAAAGCGGGTTTGGATGCATGCATTCTCGAACTAATTTCTAAAGAGAAATCTTAGAAATTGTGACATTTTTATAGGAAGATAAAAATTCAGCATAAATTCCTACCCAAGTCTTTGTCGTAGACATGGCAACAGCAAAACCTGGCCATTGCAGATGGTGTCCACTTAATCCCTCACAGAAAAGAGGGAAGCAGGTTAAGCAGAAAGTAACTACTCAGCAAGGGGTGCCTGGCCACTTCAGCGGAGGTTTTACATTTTAAAATCTTTGTCTGTGGCTTCATTATATGTTAATGTCTTCAGCCTTTAAAGACTGGAGTCCACAGACTTCATGATGCCTCATACAAAAATGCTTTAAGAAAAAGAGCACAGCCCTATTTTTAAGAACAGAAATATAGACAGACACAGATATAAGGAAAAAGGAAGAAGTCCCTTACTACATGGAGGAGGAGCAAGGCAGTGATTTTGATTGGCTTAAAAATATTACAAGCAAAAAACCAAGAGGCAACTGTTTAAATATTTCAAAAAGAGAAAGCAAGTACTTAGCCATAAAGAGATAAAAGAGTACAGAAACATTCCTGCTAGCTAAAAAAGGTAGTCCGCATATGTCCCAACTGACCTAATACCTTATTATCTTTTTGCCTATTCCTTTTGCATTACAGCAACCCCAATTTGTATGTTCTCCTCCTTAAATTTTTATAGCATAAAAATAAGCAGGTACTGACTTTTCTGTCTGATTCCTATCCTAGGGACATCATGAACAACAAAGTGTTTTATCAACACCCCAACCTCATGAGAGTCCTGGGCATGCATGAGACTGTGATGGAGGTGATGGTGAATGTACTGGGTACGGAGAAATCACAGGTATGATATCTCTATGCAGAGGATGTGGCCAGGACTTGACTGGTGGGGTGGGGGGTTGGCACATTAAGTGAAGGTATGTAAGAAGAGCTCCAATTCTGAAAACTCAGCTACTCCTCTGGCCATTCAGCTACTAAGTTTACTTCATGTATTCTGCAGCCCTGCCCCTCCTAGAGAGAAGAACTCAGGATTCCACATAGGAACCCAGTGTGCTTTGCCCTAGTCAGGAGCAAGCTGCTCTAAAAGAGAACAAAATCTTAGTAGTAACCCTAACGGTGTTTTTGAAGAATGTTTCCTATTTCCTGTCAGCCAACCCACTGACACAGCTAGGTTTTCTTGCTACCTCCCCAGTAAAGATGAGCAGCATCTACTGACAAAGAGAAAGCAATGGACACAGGGTACAGCTAGCATTCAGCTCAACTCGTCTGCGGTGTTAGTTAGATGGCTTCTGAATGCAGTACATGGGTATGGCTTCAGATTTTGGGGATTCCAAAGTGCCACTATCTAGGAATGAATGATTCCAGGGCACCTTCACCAGGTCATGTTCCTGCTCTCTGGCTTTCTTTGGTCCTTGGAGGGAGATCCCTGGGCACATGTCTGGATCCTGAACAAGCAGGTGACTATGGCTTTCAGAGCCATATTTCTTACAACATTCTCTGTGATTCCAAAGAGGGAAATCAAGGTCTTTCTAGGATCCTGTGAAAAGTTAACACTGGCACACTTTATTGAGCAGTATGGTATGAAAAATGAGACACGGCCTAGCACAGAGATGCTAAATTTTTGCTAAGTAGAAAATCCAGGCCAATCAACACTCATATACGATGGCATCCACATGCTAAACTGTAAACCTCCTATTATGAGTGCTATAGGAACCCACATGAGAATAATTATGAAAAACAAAAGGAATGGGGGGGAGTTCAGAAATGCGTCCTGGTGCTCCTTAGGCTGGGGAGGCCAGGCGTGAGCAGGAGACTCCAGCTTAACGTGCTGGTGGACCTTACTTTCCATGTTCACCATCTCTCATTCTGATATTTCCCATCAAAATTGCATCCACTCCTATCCTAAGAATACCAGTAGTTTGATGCAGGGTCATATGATTTCATGTGACATCCATGGTCACTGGGATTTGTGGATGATGTCTGTTTTCCTTTGAAGAAAAGATATTTTAAGTAACTATAGTTAGCTGTCAGTATTTTTGGAAGTTTTTCTTAAGTATCCTCCACTCTCTGTTCCTCTATGAATAAGTCTTGCAAAAAGCAGAAAGGAAGAAAAATGCATTTTCCAAACTGTCCACAGCTTTAAAGACTCTCAGATCAGCTTTTTCAGACTTGCATCAAAATGCATTCCTTTCCCTGACTCCTCCTTTTTCTCCCGGTAGATTGCTTTCCCAAAGATGGTTGCTAGCTGCTGCCGCTTCCTTTGCTATTTCTGTCGTATTAGCCGGCAAAATCAGAAGGCAATGTTTCAGCATCTGAGCTACCTGCTGGAGAACAGCAGTGTGGGCCTAGGTATGTACGCAGTTGGAATCTGCACATGACTCGGAGCTTCCGTGCACCCTACTGGTCACTGAGGAGCTAAAGAAAAAGAATACACCTGTGTGCTTATTGCATCTTTAAATATCAAAAAAAGAATCTATTTTAAAAATCAGCACATAAAAAAATCTTTGCTCTCCAAATAGAGGAGTAGCTACCGATCACATTGCTGGCAGATTGTATTGGCCCAGATATACAGTTTAATCTCTTGTCCCTTGGGATGAGTGGCCTGTGGTTTATGAAACATGGACTGGATTGGAAATGTTTTCTGAGGACATATTCCTCCCAACCCAGCTGATGAGAGGACGCAGCAAGTAAGACCAGATGCATTGATCTGGTCCCTTTCAGCAGGTTGGCTCCAAAGTGCATAGCTGTCCCATCACCCAACCTGCAAGTGCTTCCTTAGTTGCCACACACACTGGCCAACAGCACTGTGAGCAAGCAGAGCAAACCCATCACCGCCAGGAGGACAGCACCTGCGCCTGTGTGCTGCCCTCACTGTTGCAGATGAAAAGCAACAAATTTGTAGAATACACAAGTACATATTCTTGAAATCTGAAATGTCTCTTTTATTTATCAAATGTAATCATTTTCAGAAAATACCACACAAAGTATTTCTAAGTTCTAGCCTAGGAGCCAAAAAACTTTAAAATGAAATACAGGGTTAATGGCCTAATGTAACTATATAAATTAGTGCTGTTTGAAGCAATTTTGGGTTTAGCTGATCAAGAGATATAACCAGTTAGATAAGAGGTCCCCAAATTTTGTAGGAGGCCTGGAAAATACATATTTACAGCTGACCTTTGGACTGATTTCCTACAAATCCACATTCACAATCAATAATGAGTGCAGGGAGCAAAGATATCAAATAAGAGTGCTCTTAAATTGGGCAGCTGCCCGCTGCAGAACAGCTATCCGGAGCCGGCTGCAGTGTGTTTGCTGCCCTCTCCTGACCGCTCCTGTGTACTTCAATCTCAGTGCTCACTGGAGTGGCCTTTTAGTCTGTCGCTTCTGTTCCTTCTCCCTCCTTAGCCTCCCCATCAATGAGAGGGTCCACTCCACTGGACGTGGCTGCCTCCTCTGTCATGGACAACAATGAACTAGCACTTGGCTTAGAAGAACCCGACCTCGAGAAGGTAACTGGCACTGGAGAAGCAGTGTACTATTGTCTTCTGCCTACAGTGTGGCTAACCAGAGGAAAAAGCAGGCCAGTTCTGAGTTTCCATCTTCTCTTGGTGGAATCTCAGCAAAAATGAGGTAAAATATGATTAATTGGTAGCCGTGAGACCATTTGGAGCAGAGGATGTCCTGGAGGCAGTGTTGGCCAACGTCACAGAAGTGAGTATGCAGATCCCTGTGCTCTCTCTTTGAGGAGGTCCAGCCTCACTGGGCTGCATAAACATCATCAGGTCTCCCGTGGTTCCTATAAAGTTCTAAATCATGCCATTCATAAGGTCACTTATGAGAGACAAGACCTGAAAGAAGGTTGTATAATCAATATCCTTTCTACGACCAAATGAGACAAACTGCCTTCTAGTGGGGTGTTGAGTAGAGCTCCTAATGGTGGTGGTGACTGGGGGCAGATTCGCCTGTCTTGCCCCATCCCTCCCAGGGAACTAGTTCCTTGTCTGGATGGCTGGTGAGATTAACAATGCATTTTCTATTTGTGGAGAAGTGCAAGCTGGCGTAGGGAAGGGAAGTCGTACAAGGCATAGGCCACCCAGGCCCTGAGCATCAGGCACCTGGGCGCAGGAAGGAGAAGGGCATCTCACCCTGACAAGTGTTCAGGAAGATCACTCTGAAAAAGTGATGTGAGGATACAAATGAGGTGCAACTAGTCAAACATATTTCTGGGAAGGGACCAGGAATGTTTGGACTCAGAAAGTAAAGAACTATTCTGCCACATAGTGAAGAACCAGAAAATTGAGTTTGACCAAAACACATGGCACCTGACAGGGTGGTAAGAAAGGAGTCATGAGTGCTAAGGAATTTATTAATAAGAGAAGCTCACACTCACACACAATCACCATGTACCAGGCTGCACTGAATGCTTCCCATAGGTTGACTCATGTGACTGTCAGAATGAGTTCTTTTATTTTTATTTTTATTGCCCTTAGTTATGGGGAGGAAATAGAGGCCTCTCTAGGCAGCATCCTCAGTGTCAGAGAGTGACAGAGTTGAGAATCGAAAGAGTTTGGCTGCAGAGGCCATGCCCAGGCCACCCTAGAGAGCCAGGAGCAGTCGAGACTGCTGGGGGGCTTCAGGCAGAGGAGTGACAAGGTGCGATGAGTGCTGTAGAAGACACACCCCCTGGCGCCAGTAGGGAAATCATATTGAAAGAAACGCAAGACTTCCATCAAGAAAAGGTGGCTGTAATATTACAAGCACAAGATACGACTGGCTTCAGGTCATATTGGCTCTGTGGCTGTGAGAAGTATTCCAATTCACAGGGCCTCTAAGAGGACAAACAGCAGCCTTCCATCAGTTACTGGGCTGGTTCATCTTTTCTCTAAGGAATGCAAGAGGTGGAGCAGTGTTGTGGCAGGTTTGAGAGCTAGCTTCTGGTTGTATTGTGTTGGAAGGCTAAAATGGCAAAATGGAGTGGGAAAGTTGACTCTGAGGGCTAAAACTCAGGAGGCTCTTGGGGCTGCAGGTGGAGCACAGGGAGGGTGGCAGCAGCTCTGGGTATGGATGAGGTCACGCAAGGGGCCAGCCTGGAGCAAGAAGGGAAGTGGCTAGGCGAGAGCCTTCACCGCTGGAACACACCAGGGAGTCGCAGGAAAGAGCACCAACAAAAACACAAGAAGAGGAGAAGAAGCCAGAGAGGGATAGGGACAAGGGACTGCCAGAATATGTGTATGGAAAGCTAAGAGGGAAAACTTTGTGTAGTTTGTTTTCTTCCTTCTGCATAGTGTCTTTGAACAGCACAGAGAAGATCGGTTGAGGAGAGAAAGAAGGGCAGAGTCGGTATCTGTTGAGTATCTGGATATCCCGAGCAGGCTGCCCTGTCTAGCTGAGGTAGCCAGGTAGGTGACGCATCTCCACTCATGAGCATCCTGCTGGTACAGCCTGGCAGGGAATCCCTGACCACACTGCAGAGGCCTGTCAGTTCTGTAACGTGAAATAATTCCCCACGTAGTTTATTGAAGTTTTTGAGTTAGTAAATTTTGTCTCCAATGCATTTAACTAGTAATTACTGAGGACCCACCTTGAACCAAAAACCTGCCTGTTTGTGAAGTTGTAATAAAGCTTCACAGACAGGGTGGCTTAAAGACCAGAAATTTATTTTCTCACAGTTCTAGAAACCAGAAATCAAAGATGAAGGGGTAAGCAGTTTTTGCATCTTTTGAGGCCTCTTTCCTTGGCTCACAGGGGGCCCTGAGTTCTGTGAGCTCACCTGATCTCTGTGTGTAAGAACCCCTGGGGTGTGACTATGCTCCCAAGCATTTTCGTTTTCCTGTAAGGACACTGCAATCATCTTAGGCATAGGCATGTAAACTGAGGATGACACAATTCAGTCCATAAAGAAAAATTATCTTTGAGCTGGTCATTTCATTTTGCTTTTTCAGTCTGTGATATCAAAGATGTATTTTTAGGATGATAATAGTGGGGGGGGCAAAAAAATGTAGATTAAAACATTTTTGTTATTTTGTCAGATTCAGTAAACATTACTGTTGAACCTAATTGAAACTCTAATAAACCATTAAGCTAAAAGCTGAAATCAGGGGGAAAGTTTATTTATTAAGCTTGTTAAATATGATTTTATTAAACATAAAGGCAGTGTGAAGTAACTGCTTTTTAAAATTCTGCCAAATCCCAGTGCAGCATAACTTAGTGTTAACTCTAATGGGCTGTGAGAGTAAGCAAAGTTACGAGGGGGAAATTTCAGAAGTTGCCCCTCAACCCCATAGAGCGGCACTAAGGGACCCCACCTGCCCGTATACACCCCCCCCCAGGACTGAGACACTGCCAGTATACCTTCTGGAGTGACAGCTGTTCCCTAAATGCTAAACACTGTGTCTCCTTATTATCTCCACGGGGAACAGATTGCAGTCAAACTGTATTATTCTTGCATTAAAAATGACAAGAAAAACCTCAGTGTTCTGTGGACAGCAGCTAGTGGGTCTCCCACGACAGGGCAGTGCCAGTTCTCGGTACTCTTCCTCAGTTCATCTTTTGAGATGCTGCTGATACTTAACAAAGATGCTGAGCCTCGCCTGGAGGACGTAGGGTGTGGTAGGAGGAGGCAGACAAGCTAGGGTGGGGGAACAGGAGGGACTGCCCCGGACATCCAGAAAGGGGCTGTGCAAGTGCTGCACCAGGCTCAGCACAGTGCCACACAGCTTGTTTGTTCTGGTGTGCGCAGATTAGTCAGGTTGGTATGCAAGGAAATGGTACATTCTAGCGTTCTTCCCTCTAGTGACCAAAGAAGAAATCACGACTATTAGATTGAACAATCACGCTGTTCCAACACAAACACACGTGCACGCACTTATTTTCCCGCCTAGCAAAATGCTCTGCACCTGTAACCATGAAAAATTCTGCCTACCTGTGGCTTCTCCTGACATTTTTATGACATACTCAAGTCTGAGCTCTAAGTAGGGTACTATCCCTACTAGTTTATAAAAGAAGTGTAATGATAGATTTTCATTGAGTTTTGCCTTACATTTATTTTTCCTGTGAAATAACAGTGTTTGACATCAGCAAGTAAATCATTCATTTAACAAACTTATTGAGAACCTTCTGTGTGCAAGGCCCATGGGATTAAGAAATAAAAAAATAAAAAAACAGGACTACCAGAGGGATGTAGGTCATGGTAGAGCACTTTCCCAATAAGTATCAGGTCCTGGATTTGGTCCCTAGTACCAAAGAAAGAAAGAAAGAAAGAAAGAAAGAAAGAAAGAAAGAAAGAAAGAAAGAAAGAAAGAAAGAAA